AAAAAAAAAAAACACACAATGTAATTTTTATATTCATGTTTGTGCACAGGCACACGTTTGCTGTTTCCAGTATTTATGCTAAGCTAACCACATCCTAAATCAAGCTCAGGAGAATATGTACTACAGATCTATCAATTGTTGCATGTAACTCTTGGAAGGAAAACAAATAAGCTTATTTCGTAAAAAACACTGGGACTGTAACTCCTTTTTCATTTTTATTCAAACATGAATTTCCCAAGTGCATTTTTGTTCGGCATAATCAACTCAGTCGATAGCTCATTTGGGATAATAAGCAATAAATTAGTTGTGGTGTGACAAGGATGTGCGGACTGGTAACATCAGAGCATGATTGGTAATCACAGGGTCGGCTGTAGAACAAATGAGACAATGCGGAAACAGGTTTACAAGTTTCCCTGATGTGTGATTACAATACAGATAAAAACTCCATGTTCCATGTGCATTTTAATATTTTTCGTAACCCTGAATTTTGATCAGGGGTTATGCAGCCTGTAGTAAAACATGCATTTAGGCAAATATTTGTGTTACAGAGCATCCTTGTCCAAATGTGCTCCTTTAAATGCATTTTCTGTAGGTATGCATGCTTTAAAAACATCCATGTGAAGTTTTGGAGTTGTGTCGGGGTCTGAAGCAGAGAGCTGCAGCAGCTGAAGCAGTCTGTGGTGCGGCTGCAGATTGGTTCAGTAACACTGTGATAACGCAGAGCTGTTTTAAAATGGAGGTCAGTGTGACACAGGAGGTGGAACTGTGTTGTCGCCCCAGGCTGGATTCAAAATGGAATACTATGTCTGTCTGTGTCCCGTGAAAACCATGTTCCTCCTCCAAATGTCAACTTTTAGGAACAAAGAACGAGTGCCGCTAATGCCAAGTGATGCTTTTTTGATTTTATTGTCGTTCTGGCCAAGTTTATTTTTACAGGCCAGTATCACATACAGTGTGTCAGTGGGTTTACAGCTCCTGAATGAGCCCACGCTATTTAGTGTTTTCAAACACGATGGGTTTCCCTTTTGATGCCGTTTCTTTTTACACAGAAATATAATTATGCTTTTCCTTATTTTTTTGTCACATATTTAATGCTCCAGTGTCAGATGTTTGTTTCAAATGTGGCCCAAGTTTCAAATAATGAGGTAAACGTGTATAAAAGTAATTCCTGTGAGGAAAATAACTCAGACTCATGTCAGCTTATGACTCCACTACTGCAAGTGTTTATGTTACATACACTGCTACATGTAGCTACATGCTAACATCAGGTAAACTTATAATCTTGGTTGTTCTCTCAGATCATTTTCCTGCTGGAACATGTACGGTTGTGAAAACTTTGAAGCTTCTATTGATGATTTTTCACAGTACAAAGTGCAGCTCATTTCCCCGCTGTAGTGATGGTTCAGAGACAGCGAGATACAGAAAACGTGGAAACACTGATGCTAAAGCTGAGCGTTTCAGACAGAGGGCTCATACCCTGTGTCCCAGCACAGACAGTATGAAAAAAAAGTGTTTTTGACTGATAAAGCATGTAAACATGCCCCCAGTAGAAACCCAAAACCATGATCCACACTGGTCTTGGCTGTAGCTGCTGCAGTGAGCATGGCAGTTTTAGTGGTTTAGTAGTGGGAGAAGTCAAGAGGTGTGCTGAAGCTTAGCTGAAGCTGTGGTCTGCAAGTTATGGAACATAACAATTATGTCCCAAATAAAATAACCGGAATGCATTCTTTAAAGCCAAGAATGTTCACTTTGCTCATTGATTCGATGCACAGGCAAGAAACTAAATGCAGGAAGAAGGTCCAATCTGCTGAAATATCAAAAAGGAAACATACCTTCCTGGCTGCTAGTCTAGGTCAGACCTTTATTAATTCTCCAGCTAGCTGCTAGCAACTGTTGATTTTGCTCATATGCATCCCAGTATGCACAGTGCACCTGTCTATGGGAGCAGTTTAACTTCAACCCGCGGCGCATGTCTTGTAGTTGTGGCAGAGCGAGGTCAGATCATAGGCCCACCACAAACACACCAGTTCATGTGCAGTAAGAAGACAATCTGAACTCCAGCAGGGAGAAAATTCACGAGACCATGTGGCGATCACATCTTCAGTCAGTTGACTAGTGTGGGTGGTCATGCTCTCTGCAGTCTTGTTCACACGACCATCACCTGTAGATTAGTTTCCATGTTTTCTGCACACAAAATGGCCGCGAACAAAAACTCCCAGTAGCAAACCCTTGCTGACATGATCTTTATTAAGGCCTCTATATCTGGTTCCCCCATCCTGAAACCAAACTGTAGTGCTCCTGCAGCTCCTCCTGCTTTCTGCTGTCAAGTTGATTTTCCATTGGACATGGAAGGGTAGTGAGTGCGTCCTAGCAGGACGGGGAATCGGCTGGTGACAGCTTTAACCTTTAACGTGTCATCTTGGATGGCAGGGACACAGAACCTGCCAGGCCAAGCTCACCACTGCTCCGAGGCCAGGGACTTACTGAGACCCCAGGACCTCATGGAGGACTCCATCTGCCTGACCACAGAGAACAGGAGACAGGGATTACAATCTGACCGGCAAAAAATGGTCAACAGAAATCAGAGATCATACAAAGAGAGAGAAGAATGCAATGTCTGGGTGCTATTTACACAGGCCTCTTCAGTCTGGACAAAACTAATGTGTGTCAGGACAAAGAAGAGCTCCATCATATCTCAGTATGTGCTAGAAAAATTAAAAAAACAAATACATTCAGGCAAAGATGGGACCACGTCATTGTTTTTCAAGTCACAAGTAAGTCACCATGTAGTTTTGTACGCAGACTTTTGGTATCAATTTTTCCAACTGGTGCTCAAAACATGAGCTTAGTTCAAAGTTCAAGTTTAGCTCAGTCAGCTGTCTCAGACTCTCAACATCCCTCCATGTTGAGTTTCAGATGCTCCCATGAGGGCGGACGTTTAGCCTCCCAAAATGCAGCACATAGCGTTACAGATTGTCTTTGTCCGGTCTGCTTTTACTAATCTTCACAAGCACTGACCCTTAATGTCCATGATTTACCCGTGTGTGTGTGTGTGTGTGTGTGTGTGTCTGTGTGTGATACCGGATGCTGTGTGTTATGTATTTGTCTGTTTTGTTGTACTCATGACTTCTTTCTGTATCTCAAATTACCTCTCCGGGAGATTAAAGTTTTACCTCACCTTACATTTGCCTTAGTTCGTGATGGTTCTCTCCTGCCACTTAATTGGAATGAATAGCATTAATGTTAGTGGTGTACCTGATAGACAACAGACTTTTTAGTTTCTGAGTTTGGGTGAAGAAATCAAGTATGTAAGTCAAAAGGTTCAGGTCACAAGTCATTGGTACCAAGGTCCAAGTCAAGTTTTAAGTCCCTTTTGATTTTCCCAAGGTCAGTCTAAAATAATCAGATTTGTGATTTAGTCCGACTCGAGTCCAAGTCAAGTGACTCGAGTCTGCACCTCTGCATTCAGGGTTCAACTTTGTTAAACAAAATTCTACAATTTTAATCAATTCAGTTTCAGATTTGGAGTTAACTACTACTGAACTTTTTCTTTCAGTACTACATACTGCATTGAGTTATATTGATCTTAAGAAAAGTCTTCTTTATTAGGCAGATTTATTTGTATAGCACATTTCATACACCAGGGCAATTCAAAGTGCTTTACAGAGCAATAATGTATAAAAGGTAATAAATAGATTTACAATAAAAGAGTAAAGAGAAAACATATATAAAAGTTAAAACTAAACAATTTACAATTTAAAAAATAATACCATTAAAAATAGCAAAAGTGCAGACAAGAGGTGCAAAGATAAAATAAAAAGTTTAGAAATAAGTTTGCAGTCATTACGGGTTGGGCTAGGCAGTGTAAAAAAGGAATGTTTTTAGTTTTGACTTAAAAAAATTGGTCAGATTAGTAATCAATTATTAATTAATAAATAAATAATAAAATAAATTGATAAGAGCTCAAAAATGCAAAAATATTGAGCGACTACGAGCGATCACAGATACTCAAATGACACATTGTTATGAAACACTGATTATTGCAGGTTTAAACATAAATAACACATACACATTTGTATAATTGTAAAGAAAGAAGGTTACAGCTGAGAGAAAGATAGCGAAGGCACATCCACAGACTGAAACAGAAAGAAAAATAATCCCAGGAGAGAGAGAGAATCGAATTTAGACACGTCAAAGAAAATACAACAAAAGACAGAGTGGCTGCAGAGAACGGAGAAGAAGCAATTTGGAGCATTGAAATTACACACCCAGGACAGAAAACACTGCAGGTGAAGCAGACGAGACTGAAGACATGGACAGGAGGGAGGCCGGAGTGATGATGGAGGGATGATTGCAGAGAGAAGAAAGTGTGAGGCGGGTAGTCGGGGAAAAGAGAGCAAAGCCGAGCAGTGGCGTTGGTGTGTGGGCGTGACAGATGAGTCGCCAGAGAGAGAGAGAGAGAGAGAGAGAGAGAGAGAGAGAGAGAGAGAGAGAGAGAGAGAGAGTTTGAGAAGTAATCTGAGGAGAAGTCAGCCATCTGTTCCTGCAGAGAATTCTGCTCATCTTAAACCACTTTGCCACCTTACAACTCACCAGACAGGAATTTGATTGTCGATTAATAATGTTTTATAAATACTTCTTTACTGAACGCTGCTGTTGGGTGATCAATCATGTGTTTTGTGAACTCAGCAGCTTGGCGGGTTGAGGGATTGGAGAGTCGGTGGGTAGGGGAGGCAACTGCTGAATGCAGTGGAAAAAACAGGAGGAAAAAATGCAGGTGGTGTTAATCTTGTGCACTCTCAGGGAAAATAAATGGACCTTAGAAAGATGCACTGAGTTTTCACTGAGGTCTGTAAAGACTGCATTTAAAAACAGGGTGAGTGCAGATTCTTAAACGAGTCTCAGTAGTGTGTAAAAATTGTCTGATAATGCGACTCATTATACTGCCCAGTCTCCCCTCCCGAAATCACAGAATAGGTCATTTAGAAGTGCCTTAAAAGAAACAATGCAATGTGATCTCACAGAAATATGTCGCACTGGTATCCTTGCCAAAAAGCCTATGGGATTTTCCCATTGGATTCTGTATTATTGTCGAAAATAAGCTCTGTGGCAAACAAACATTTATAATACTTGCATGTTTGTTCAGAAGGATAATCTTCACTAATGAACACTATTTTAATGATTTTGAAGCCTAAATGCAATCACCAGCAATAACAAGCTAACGTTAGGCTATAAACACACCACACTACTGTCTCATGAAATAACGTCATCACTATAACACGACTGTAAAGCCGTGTTTGCCGTGATGAAGTTCTGTAGTTTCATTTAGCCACTTGTTAGCAACCAGCTTTTTTAAGACATGTAGAAGCTTCAAAGTTCATGAGTTGGGTATTGGGTAACGTAAAAGTCTCTGCTGCTGTCAAGTACCGCCGCTTTGTCAGTGAACCTACACGTGTAAATGTGGCGCCCTAGGTACCCTCCTGCATTTGTTCTAGACGTTCAGGGACAACGTGCCAGTTAATGTTTGTTACAGCATACAGTGTTGTTCAAAATGAACTTACAGCGTAGATATAACACTTAGTTTTTAGGTCTGCTTCCTTAGTTTTAGGAAACAAAAGCATGTGATTAGGTTTAGAAAAAAAACCCATCATGGTTTGGCTTACAGTTCACACAGCGGGCTCCCAGGTGAAAGTCCGGTGTTTGTTTGACCCACCCATCTACCCTCCCTATACAGACGTTCTCAATCTTTATATTGTGGCAGTTGCTGACAGCATAACAAACAGGCTGAATAGTCACCTCCTCCTCAACAACACCAAGACGAAGAAGCTCATCTTTGACACGTGGCACTTCAATAAACTCTCCACCCCTCATTGCCCCACCACCATCAACAGCCAACCAGTGGAGATGGTGGAGAGCTTTAAGTACCTCTGCATCATCATGGACAATAAACCAAGCTTCAATCAGGACACCACAGACATCCATAAACACTGCCAACAAAGACTCACAGTCAAACCCCACCTCCTGCTCCTTCTTTTTTGTAGCATTATTGAACCAATCCTCCTGTATTGCACCACCTGCTATCTCACCATGCTCACCTTCACCAAGAGAAACAGCCTCCTAAAAAATCACTAATATATCTTCCAACATAATTGGCTCCCCACTCCTAGCCTGTCAGACCTCACTGACACTGCAACCACTTGCAGAGCACTGACATTAGCACACAACCTCCGCCACCTCCTCAATCCATGCCTCCTCCTGACTCACTTTGGGAGCAGTTTTGTGCCCTCAGCCATTGTTGCCTTCGACTTGTACTGTGTTACTGTGATTTTCTTGCTGTTTCTATCCTGTGTGTTGCCCGTTCTGAGTGTTTATTCGCACAGACTTTGAAAGGAAATTTCCTCTATAGATAAATCTTAAAATCTCTGAAGTGTAACTCTGAAAAGAGATGCAGACGATTTTGTGCAGGGCCAGAAATTAAAAGAGAAATTTACGAATGTCAGGTGGAGTCTGTCAGGCTAATAGCTTAACAGAGGAATAGGAGGTTTCCAAACAGCAGATCAACCTTGGTCACTGATTCCACAGCGATTGGGATCAGGGATTGACACGGTTAGAAGATTAGCTTTTTATAGCTGTAACAATGAAGCTGTGTCTAAAAGGATTGAGACACTTGATTCCAAATCCTTGTGGGTGCGTTTGAAAGGTCAAAAAATCCATTTAACGCCATTAATTTAAAGATGAAATGATAGGGGTAATGTCTTTAGGTGCAATGGCAAGTTAAAATTAGTTTCAACATTGGACATTGACTTGTTGACTCATTGCTCATAGTTGTTTTTTCTTTTCCTTAGGGCTCTGTAGGTTTCACTGTTTGCTGATTGGCACTTTCAAGCTGTCTGATTCAGGAACTTAATTTTCAGATTAATTTTAAGGCCTTTAAATACCCCTTTCACCTAATTTTTACACACTTCAGGTCAGTAGACTTGAGGTTTTCCTCGGCACTGATACCATTGTCCATATAAAGTGATGCTGGGAGTTCACAGCTGGCAGATCAGACTTCCTTTTGTGCTTCCCTGACTGCAGAGTGCAGGTTAAATTAAGTCTTTTGTGCACCCCAGGGCATTTTCTCCAGGTTGTCTCGGCCCTGCCCCAGCTCTTCAAACACTAAAACCACACGCCCAGCAGTGAGAAAGCGTGCCTTTGGTTGAAAAGAAGCCATTGTCTGCTCAGATGATTGTGAGTCATTGTACTGGCAGCACAAGCCGGGAGTCAAATGATGTGATGTAGCGGAGAGACCTCCATTGTGGCCCGTATAAAGCTGCGGCAGGAACGGCGGCCCTGGCAGATACCGACTGTTGGACGTTCAGGGGAGTTTTGCATGAATAGTGGAGTAATTCAGTCGGTGGCAAGGAGGTGATTAGCATTTTGAGTGGATTCACCGCCGGCTCTGTTCCATTCACAGGGCGAATCTGTGAGTAGCCAGCAGAGTCTCTCAGTGGTCTGGTTTGTTTGGGAGGAAAAGGTCACGTCTGCCTTCACAGACGTTTTGACAGATTTCACATTTACAGATGGACAAACGGATGATTTTGGTGCCAGACACATAAATGAAGGAGAATCTCAGGATATTGTGAAGTTAGTCCATCGAAATCACCACGAAAAAATATGTTTTGCATATGCTGACTTCTCATTTTATATCATTCAGTTTCTGTTTCATTTTGAAACAGATTTTTATAAGAGCAAAAATATTAGCAATTTAGTAATATTTATAATCTGAGATGTGTACATTGCAAAGTGCCATGCATACTAGTTAAAGACTTCTGGGCTTGTTTAGAGACCACACATATTCAAGTTTTTTGTATTACTCATACCTTTATAACTCATTGTATGTCGAATACCCCCAAAAGTAGGACCCATAGAGATTATAAGAGAATGAAACCTTCTTTAAAATAAATAGCTTCTTCCCAAAATGCACAATTTACCGTGTGAGAAACTGAAAATGAGAAACCAAGGAGGTTTCTGTTTGCTTTTTAGTCAGCAGTACAAGGCAAATGCTTTCTAAATTACATAATATAGGATAAGACAAAAAAGAACAGTTTAGAATAACCATCATTGAACATAACACATTAAATTAAAAACAGTTTCATATGTATTATATCGACATTTGTAAAGTGATGTAGTATATGAGCTGACTTTTTCATCTCAAGGTATAAAGGGATCGTGGATGGCATGACATCTAGGAAAGATGCCTGCCAACTTGCAGACTGTTTGAGACGAACAAAAAACAAAAATGGTTGTTTTTAAGTGACCGGTCGCTGCTTTCAAAAGGGAGGATTGTGCCTATTTGTAGACAGTTAAAAGTGTTTTAAAAATCAATTCTCGGATATCACAGATGCTTTGCATAGATCCAAGGAAAGACTGTTACACCAGTGACAACATTTAAATCAAGGCATGGATTTTATTTCTTATCACTGTGATGCATTTTGGATTATTTTCACTATTCTCATGAACTGCTGCACATAGCTGAATGCATGGAAGAGATCTGGCACATGTTCACATGACTGTCACTTTGTGCTCTCTGAGGTCTATCTAGTCATGAACCTAAGCTTGTTGCTTTTTAAGGACAGTAAATGTACAAATATTTAAAGACTGGAAATAAGATCTTTTTTTCTACAGCGGATACAGCAGTTTGGATATTCAGATGTGGAATTGAAAACATTCACAGCACATTTTTTCTGGCTTTTCCTAATGAGCACAAGAGACTGCCAAGTTGTTTCTGGCAGTTTGAAGCATCAACATGCAGACTTCATATTTCAAACAACAAATTGTACCGTTCTGGAGTCTTTGCTCTTAATAAGCCTGATTTGTTGTGGTATTGAAGTCCTCTCCCCCATCGAGCAGACAGATGGTGATATCCATGAAAAAAAAGCTTCAATTGAAGGAGAGAGCCAGAAATCTGCAGGTGTGTGTGTGTGTGTGTGTGGTGAGCCTGCCTCCACACACAGCTATCTACAGTACCTGTTCAATGACTGTTTACCTACAGGTCTTAATCACATGAAACACATTGTTGTCCGTTCACACAGCTCTATGGATCCATTGATTTCATTCAGTTTGCTAAAAGAAAAAAAAATTCTTTGTTGATGATGCGATGTTTTACATGGTACACTATCTGCAACCATTTGGACACTGCTCCTAGCTTTGCCATATTTTCTGATTATTTAAGTACATTTCAGTCAACCTACTCATGTGGAATGAGTTCATTATTAAAGGATCATTTCACCTAAATTACATATAAAACAATTTCTCTCCTACACATCGTGGTACCAATTCAGGCGTACAATTTTGGTTTATTTGCCCATCTTGATAGTGGATGTTTTCCAGATACGTTCATTATGGACATTTCTGGGTTTTTCAGACATGTTTATTGAAATATTTCTTCACTATGCTGATGAAAAAGAAACATAATTTGTTTCCCTTAAAACTTTTTTGTAATTGTTATATGTTTGCAAGGAGAGAAATCTTAAAATATGTAAAAATGAAACCAAAATTATCTGCACAGCTGAATGCCACCGGGAGTAAGGATGTACATGTTTTTAGTAATTTGAATGCACTGAAGTTGTGCAGATGCGTACAGAAAGTGTATTTGGCATCAAAAAACGTGTCACTCCCCATCAGGATAAACAAAGATCAGCACTGAGGAGATCTGGGGAGTGATGCACATGGACAAGTGTTATTATTATGCTGCCCAGAGGGCCAAAATGTAATAAATAACAATTAAAGCTGCAAGCAGCGCTGAACAGCCCCTCACATCTTCACGCATTCGGGGGTCCAGGCAGGACAACGACTGCTGGGCTTTTCATTTCTGTGAAAGTCAGACACTGCATGCAGGAGTGAGACAGAATATCCTTGTAGAGCGTGGGCGCTGAAATGACCTATTTCAAATTTTGTACCACTTACTGTGTCTATTATGTGGTGCTTGAGAACACTCTTATTATATGTCATGTTGGTGTAAATCAGTTGTAGACCAAACCATGGACATTTTATGCAAATCAAAAGATAATTGTCTGACAAGGCTTACTTCCTGTTGCCAAAAGGTGGCACAGTCACAATGATACCGCATTTGCATGTTGATGCCTTCAGGCCTGGAGCCTTATACAACAAATGAAAATTGGGGCAGATTAGACGAGCAGGTTAGAAGTTAGAATAACTTCCTGTTTCATGGCGAATAAGGCGTAGCCATGGCAACATCATTCAATGTAAACTCACACAAATTAGAGGTGGATCTGGTCACCCTTCGGGGAGTATTATGCCAAACTATAAAAACATGATATAGTCTGTTATTAGTAGGTAGATTGGACATTGTATGCTCAAGTTACAACATCTTAATTGTTTATGGCAAGATGGCCGCCACGCCACACCATTTGATGAAAATTACAATGTTCATCAGAAAGCATAAAACATGTCATTTCCTGTTGCCAGTATTGGGCGCGAGAACTCTAATGTAGATGTGTTCAGGATGGGACTCTTACCAACGTGTGAAATTCAGGGGTGCCTGGACAATGTATCTTGGAGTTACAAATTCACTTCCTGTTTGTTGGCGAAACATGTAAGTTTGATGCCTTGCTACAGTCACACGGTTCGACAAAAAGTCAAGCTTTTGATAACTTTTCATGTGGAAGGTCTTTAGATGGTACAGACAAAATTTGAAGTCTATCAGATTAAATCTCTTGGAGGACTCTGTCCAAAAATTGACCAAAATTACATGGAAAATTCAGACTTCCTGTTGGGTTAAGGGTATGGCTCCGGGAGACTTTTTTGTATGTCTTGGCATGTTACATGTGCCTAGCAAGTTTTATACATGCAAGTGAGACCAGCTTCGGGCTGTTTCGTAGAGATTCTGTAGGGGCGCTTCCAAGCCAGTTTTTGAAATCAGTGTGTGACCCAAAGAATTTTTCACCACGTCTGATATGTGAGCATGTTTAGCCACTCCAAATAGTGATTTATTTCTCAGAAATATAACAATAATTTCCTGCATTTCAAGAGGCTCCTCGCTCCATTTGGTGCTTCGGCCCTTGAAATAAAAATACTAATAAAAAAAGTTGTGTTTTTTTGTAAATCATGAACTTGACCAACTTGATCTTTCCACTTGACCAAGATGGCACAGTAACTGGTCATTGAGAATGAATATGAGAAGTCTAATTTATTACATGAGTATCATGCAAAAAGCATTAAAATGTATTACTACCATCTCTGTAAGGTGTGAAGTCAATAAGCCAAGGAACTTAAAATGCTATTTGATAGGAGTGTTGTCTCAGTAACATTTTAATTTCCTCTTGCTCTTGGCATGTCAGCTGTGGAAGCACTTTTTCATGCATTTGAATTAGAAGTTCTTGATCTGAGAGGTGAGAGACGATATGTGTTGAGAGTTTCTGTGGTCCGCGTTGATGGAATATACATCTACGTTTGTGTCTTAAATTTCTACAGTAAAGGCTTCAGCATCTTTCTCAAGACGAACATTACAGATTCAGACTTATGTTTTCATTCACTTTTCTTCCGTGTAGCATTTTAACCCACGCGACTGTTTCCTGTCCTCATGTTTAAATAAGCTTTGCCTGCTCTGAAAGAAGAAAACATCACGCTGGGAAGCTCTCTGAGGAGCATGTGCTTCGGTTTGAGCGCATGCATCAAAAATGCAAAATGGGAGATGTTTTTTCATAAATGCATGGCTACTGCATATCATTTCTATGACCATTTTCTTTTTCTTGGTCTCTTCCTTTATGAAAGCTCATGCAGAGATGTCAGATCCTGCACCTGCTGTCTCATACAGAAAAGTCTGTAGCCTGACAGGCAGCTGGTGTAAAAAACTGATTCAGTTTTTCCACAAAGAGAGATTGCTCTTCATCAAAAATCATTCTCTGAAGAAGAGCGTTGCTTGAAGCATCACTCACTCATTGGTTGTGATCTTTCATTTATTTCTATCGAGAGCTTCCAGTGTGCTCAAAGACATGATTTTTGCCATTCTTGCATTTGGTTTATTGTTTGATTTATTTTTGTGGTATGAGTTTGTTTCTTATTGTGAATGAATGGCGGCTTCAATAGTGCTGAAATTCTTTGCTTCCCTTTCTCTTTCAGAGGCCAGAGATCCAAAATGGGAGGCAAGCTCAGCAAAAAGAAGAAGGGATACAACGTAAATGATGACAAGGCCAAAGACAAGGATGCTAAAGCAGAGGGGGCATCTGCTGAGGAGAGCGAAGCACCGAAAGACAACAAAGACGAGGCCCCAGCTGCCACCGACACTAAGGAGGTAGCGAACGACACAGCGGCCAAGGAGGCGCCGGCAGCAGATGCTGCTGCGCCCAAAGAGGAGGATAAGAATGCCACTCCGGCCTCAAAGGAGCCCGAGAAACCTGCTGCCAACGCTGAGCCGAAAACAGAGGCGCCCAAGAGCGCAGAGCCCGCCAAGGCCGAGGAGAAACCAGCTGCAGCCGCCCCGGCCAAAGAATCGGCCCCTGCCGCCAAGGAGCCCGAGGCTAAGGCCGCGGCACCTGCAGCTGAGAGTAAAGATGAGGCCGACGCCAAAAAGACTGAGGCCCCCGCGGCACCAGCAGCCAAAGCCGAGGCGGCCCCCGCTGCCTCCCCTGACCCCAAGCCCACAGAGGCGGCGGCGGCTCCCGCACCGGCGAAGGAGGCCGCCGCAGCCCCTAGTTCAACACCAGCCGCCGAACCTCCAGCCAAGGAGGCGAACGCCACAGAGGCACCAAGCAAGGATCAAACTGTAGCAGTTCAAGATTAATGGACAGCTTCTTTTCGGAAATGAAAAAATAAAGTACCTAACTCAACGACGATGACGATTAAAAAAAATGAAAATGAAATTAACTAGCCCACCCATATTATGATAATAACAATAATAATAATAATTGTAATGATAATGATTTGTTGATTGAGGAGGACTGGAGCAACCACCTGGAGAAGTTTCCCACCGCTGCAGATGATTATTGCTATTATTATTGTTATGTTTTATTCTATTTTTTTCTGCTGTAGTATTTGAACTTTGATACGAGTCTGTGTCGGCCATACGCCTCGCCATCCCTCATCCATCATCCTTCTCCCTCATACGGTCAAGAGGTTTAACCCGACTCCCATCTCAGCTCACAGTAGGCCTGCGTTCAAACATCCACCTGCACCTTCTGCTCTGTGGACGGCACAAAATTTGGGGAAACAGGACTGAGGGAAGGAGGGGGTTAAGAAATCACTTTACCAGCTGGGTACGTCCACTTTTCAGCTCTCCCCCTTCCACTCATCCTCCTCTTCAGTGTATCATGCTCTCGACTTTAGCCTCAAGTTTTTCATTGCCGTGGAATTGTGGCTGCGCCCTTTTTTAACCCATCCTCCCCCAACTTTTTGGTATTGTTGGGTTGTGTTGCTATCAATTTTCCTCTTGTGGTTACACACCACTTTTCCTGTACGGCAAGAACTGATAAGAACCTTTAAAAAGGGAGGTTAAATTTATTGTGAGGACTGAGAACACTCCGTCCTTCTAAGACATTTCGGAGGTTGACAAAAAAGGCTGGCTTTGCAGAGCAAAACACATTCTTAGACGTATAAAACAGTCGTAGGAATTTTTCAGATAAACTTCTAGATTTTGTACTGAAACCCTTAGGTATATTGTAAGTGAACTAAGTGGTTTTTTAACATTTGTAATACACTTATAAAATCTGCAGAGCCTCGCTGGAAAGATCTCCGCGGTGCTCTTAGAAAGTCTGAGAGAAATCTCTAATCCTCCGTCCAAATCTGATGACAAATTTTAGAAGTTTTTTGTTTTAAAAGACATATCTACTGCTGACCGGGGTGAAACAGATTTTACAATCACGTCTCAGAGGTAGTTTGATCCTGCTTAGACAACCAAGTTGGTGACGTTTGCTGCATCATCAGGAGACGTCCGGAGTTCAGCTCTTTTCTGTGATTGCCTTCAGTTTCTGGACTGTAGAACTTGAGTCTTTCACTTACTTAAGATAAAAATGTAGGCATACTTACACATACTGTAAGTAAAAGTCCTGCATTTAACTTAAGTGAAAGGTTAGCCACTAAATATACTTAAGAAGTGAAAGTATATTGTAAAAGTATATTGATATAGTGGACAGTGATGGAAGGTGTGAACATGAGCTTACCACAAGTTATATTTGTAGAGAAATTAAGAGCAATTTCTGGAATTTTGGAATTAAATTTGGAAATTAAATAATTAAAATTGGAAACTTTGGGGGATTTTCCTGTTTCCAGACCAGTTAAAGCATTACATGCTCATACATAGTTAAAAAAATCCTCCAAACTCTTTATGTATATGTACTCAGATGTTGGAGTTTGCCATTTGTTTGGCAATTTTATGCCCAGTTATAACAAATTTGTCAACAAAGGCAAACCAGCAGATCGATCTGAAGTTGGCATTCATAATTACCCTTCATATGATTATAGCGGAAACATAAAGCAGTCTGTCCTGTGGAGTGAGCGTGGAGTGAGCGTCCCCACTTTGGTATCTAAGCAGGTAAAAAACACCACAGATGAGATCATGTACCGGCTGTTCTGCTCAGCAGTCTGATCCCATGGAGAACAGGAGGGGTGAGATTTCTGTGAACGATCATCAGCAACCTACTCAATCTACTGTGGTCCATGTCCCTATGGCACCCGTACACCACACTATCATTATGGGATGGAAAAGCCTTGCACATGAAAAGGGAGCTTCTGATTTTGTCATTTTCATCCATCATGCATTTTCCTTTACTTTTCCTGAATATATATCATGTATGTGTACATGTGTGCAGAGACAGAAGAAAAGAGGTAAATCTTTGACTCAAGTAAAAGCAATATTACTAGAGAATACTCTGTGGCAGTAGAAAGAGTTTGTATCTCTAGTTTTGGGGATTGTTGCACTTTAGGATCAGCAGGAAGGAAGGACGCTGTTATAAGAGCAGAATAAAGAGAGGAAGGAAAGAAGTTGTGATGGACTGGAAGGAAGAACGGAGATACACAAGCAAGGACAGAGGAAATGAAGAAGAAAGAGAAAGGAAAGATTGTAGGACAATAAATATCAGAGTAAATATTATGAACGGTCAGACAGACTAAATATTTGAGGGTTTTACGTAATAGTAACAGTTGCATAAGATACCAGCACCCTTACATTGTACTTATCTTCAGTGCTTGAGTCAATGTACTTTCCTTATTTCACCTTTGCATATATGTAGGTATATATCTATATATTTATTCATCTCAGCCATCCATCTGCCAACTTTTCTGTTTCATCCGACTGACACGCAGCGTTTTCCTCCCAGCACTTGTCAAACCGTAGCAGAAACAAACACTTGAGGAGCATTGTGTGTCACTCGGTTCACTTTTTCTTCCTCTCTTGACTCAGTAAATTGCATGTCCGTGGTTGGGTGAACCTGTAGTCCTGTCTTTTTGGTCAAGTGGAAAAAAAAAATAAAAAAAATAATTTCTCAGTCTGCATCCATGGCAACTACAGTTGATATTTTCATTCCATGTCTCACCACTGCTATTTCCACACCACACGTTCATTCAAAAACAAAACAAAAAGATGATATGGAAATTGATGCATTCAAAATTATATGTACTTGTATAAATGGTGCAACAGTAATAAAATGTAAGAAATTGACTGAAACACGAGGATTTTGTGCAAGTCAACTTTTTTTCCCATGCACACACAAGTAAAGAAAATATTGTTTAGACTCCAAACCCACGACTGAATACGTACATCTTAAAGAAGGCTCACAAATATGTGGTTAAATGTTAGGAGATGTCTCAGTAACTTCCTAAAACAGCTGTAGTGTAGTGTTACAGTTGTTGTTGTTTCACGTTAAGAGACAAGAGATCCTTTTCCAGAGGTGGATTAATCCATATTTTCTGCTCTAGTGAGTATTTCCAGGTACAGGACTGTTGTTTGCCTCCTGATAACAAACTCAGACAAGTGTGTGCCTCCATCTCAGCACCAAACATCAGATAGACAACTAACTGTCCAACAAAGCGACAGCTAAAAAGCCAAATGTTTACCGGCGCTAAAGTTACTATTTTTAAACCATACAAATACACTACAGTCTCAGTAATATTACCCAGTGTATATTTTGACTGTGCGCCTGTTTCCGCCGGCTGCATACTTTCAAGTGCATTCAGTAGTAAAAACCTCCTGAACATCACCTCTTTTTAAAGTGTGCTCTGCCCTGACTTTACCTCTCCTCTGTGGAAAGTGATTCACAACATTATTACACTTGAAGCACCTGGCAGGGTTCCAGCAGCACTCAGCCTCTCCGTCTCTGCAGCGAGAGACATTAATTCAGGGACAGACTTATTTTAATGAGCCAAGTGTGAAATTTGGGTTAGATCAGTAATATTCATACTACATGCGGACACTGTTAAAAGAACACTAATCAGTTATCTGTAACGCAAGACAAAGTTTGTCTTTAATTTTCACTAAAGTGAGAAGGAGCCGCCATATTTCACACAAGGCTCGGCTGCAGCAGGTGAGTCGAGGTGTCTCTACGTTCACTCTCTGTTTGCAGATTAAAGAAGCGATTTGAAAATGTCAACTTAAGCTCTGGGAAATCAGGATGAGCATTTTTTGCTGTTTCCTGACATTTTATAGACCAAACGATTGATCATTTAATCAAGATGAGTAAAATAAATAAATAAATCTGAGCATGGGTGTGTGAGATGCTGCACATGAGTCATAAGGAAGAGAAACAGCAGGGAGCTCAGCTTATAAAGGCTGTAGGGTGAGGCCGAGCAGATGAGCTGCATCAGCTAACGACCACCTGAAACAATGCCACAGGGACGTAATGCCTCACTCTGATTGATTGGTTTGTGAATGTGGGTAAAAGCAGCCCACTTACCAGAAGAAAATACCTTTCATACATATCATATCAACATTTCTAAAGTGACATATAATATATGAGGTGACTTTGTCACCAGGAGGTGGAGTGAATGATGGAGGGGGAGATGCCTGCCAAGCTGCAGACCAGAAACAGACTGGTTTTTAGTGAGACATCACTGCATGTGGACTGTTTCTGTGTTTCCAGCAGAGATGGTGCCACAAAAAGCTGTATTTTTTTTTATACCAAGACATCACTGCTTTTCTTGGCAGAATAGTGGCACAAGAAGAGGTTGTCCTTTAATAAGGCATTGCTGAATTTCCTGTCTGGATAGCGAAATGGTTGTTTTTTTACTAAGACAACACAGCTTTTAGTCAGTTTAATGAGACATTACTGCATTTCAAGCTGTGGTAGTACCACAAAAAGTGGTCGTCCTTTAACAATGCTTCAACATTGCTTCTGCTTTTCCTGACAGGATAGTGGCACAAAAAGACATAGTGCCATGAAAGTGGTCGTTTTTTCAATGAGACATTACTGCGTTTCCAACTAAGAAAATGCCATAAAATGCAGTTGCTTGACCGAGACATCACTGCGTTTCCAGCTACGATCATGCCACAAGAAGCTGTAGTTCTTTTTTTTTTTTTTTTTACCGAGACATTGCTGCTTTTCCTGCCAGGATAGTGGCATAAAAAGAGGTCGTCCTTTAACAAGACATCGCTAAATTTCCTGGTCGGAAAGTACTATGAGAAATGATTGTTTTTCTATAGACAACACAGCTTTCCAGTCCTAATATTGCACAAAAGTGGTTATTTTTTAGTGAGACATCATTGCATTTCCAGCTAAGAAAGTGCAAAGAAAAGTGGTTGTTTTGTACTGAGACATCACTACATTTCTAGCTGGGATAGTGCCACAAAAAGTGGTTGTTTTTTTATACTGAGACATTACTGTTTTTCCTCACAGGTTAGTGGCACAAAAAGAGGTTGGCCTTTAACAAGACATCGCTGAATTTCCTGCCAGGATAGAGAAATGGTTGTTTTTTTAATGAGACATTACTGCGTTTCCAACTAAGAAAGTGTCACAAAATGCAGTTGCTTTGCCGAGACATCACTGCGTTTCCAGCTACGATCATGCCACAAGAAGCTGTAGTTCTTTTTTTTTTTTTTTTTTCCAGAGATATTGCTGCTTTTCCTGCCAGGATAGTGGCACAAAAAGAGGTCGTCCTTTATCAAGACATCGCTAAATTTCCTGGTAGGGTAGTGCCATGAGAAATGGTTGTTTTTTTAATGAGACATTACTGCGTTTCCAACTAAGAAAGTGTCACAAAATGCAATTGCTTTGACCGAGACATCACTGCATTTCCAGCTGCAATCTTGCCACAAAATTGCTCTTTTTTTTTTTTTTTTTGACAGAGACATTGCTGCTTTTCCTGCCAGGATAGTGGCACAAAAAGAGGTCGTCCTTTAACAAGACATTGCTAAATTTCCTGGTAGGATAGTGCCACGATGACCCTGATGAAGGGCACAAGCCGCTGTGTGTCGGAGTGTTGCTGGAGTTCTTTTGACATTTTCCAGTGTTTCCTCACTCTCCATGCACCTTGTGAATCAGTGAAGTTGTGCCAGAAACCACTTTCTACTTAAAGGATAGTGCCATGAGAAATGGTTGTTTTTCTACCAAGACAACACAGCTGTCCAGTCCAGATAGTGCCACAAAAAGTGGTTATTTTTTAGTGACACATCACTGCGTTTCCAGCCGGGATAGTGGCATGAAATGTGGTTGTTTTTCATTGAGATATCGCTGTGTTTCCAGCAGGGACTGTGCCCCCAAAACCTAGTATTCAAAGCCAAAACATGATCTTTTCCTAACAATAACCAAGTGGTTATGGTTGTGCCTAAACATGACCAAAGCATAGACGTAATAATGTACAAATGTAATGCATTCGTTATTTAGGCTACAGAAGCGTACAATGCCAACATTTATTCTGGCAATGGGGTTGGCGATAGCAGACCTCACGTTGTGGGGATTTGATCCTAACTTTCTGACACAGTCAGAATTTTGACGCAGATCAGTGGGTGTGTTTTAAAAATTTCCATCTCATGTTTTAACTCAAGTTCAAGTCTCAAGTCCATGGCTCTTGTACATGTTAAGAAAAAAAAATGGATGAATATTTTGTTTGTGATTTTAAAAAATGATTCCAGCTTCCTTGTGTGAGTATCACTGTAAATAAAATATCTTATGGACTGTTGGTCAAACAACAAAGCAAGCTGAAAACCACATGTTGGACTCAGGGAACTTGTATTTTCAGTATTTTTTCAAACAGTTTATAGATTAAATGATGGATCAAATAATCAAAAGATCAACTAATAAGATAAGTGAATGTACCACATTAGAGTTTTAAAGAGAAATGTCTTTCTTCCCCGTTCATAGCCACACATTGGTGGTGCTCAGAGGTAGCACTTGAAACAAAGTGGTGTGATGCTACTGGTCACACCGCTGACTATACTGTGCGTGTCAGAATCACAGGGTTGTTTAAATTGACTGGGTTCATATGGATTACACACAGAGCACCCAAAGGCCCCCACACTGTCTTGTGGTGTTGGCAACTGAGCAATAGTTTTGCTCCTCGTTATCACATGAAAAGAAAAAAGCAAAACAACGTCGAGGACACCAGAAAGAGGACAAATACAAAGGAACAAAGCCTCGCCAAGAGATCATGATTGATGTCTTTATCTTTTCCTCTTTCTCGTCGCACTCCCTCTCTCGCGGGGAGGGAAGGACAGTAAATCAAGGACTTAATCTCTCTGCTGTGATTTACACCTGTTCAAATGCCATTTCTCACCCGTTAATACCTTCCCCATGCCTTTACTCAGGCCACAACAAGGCTAGATAAGATGTGAGGCTGCACAGAAGTAGGAACTGAATAGGATGTATTCCACAGTACGAACCTGTAACACAATGCCTGAAAATGTAAAACTCCAGATAAAGCCAGCTGTGTAAAAGAGGCCAGACTAAACATGATGTGTCACATGACGAAAGCTAATTCTGGGCTTGTTTTGAACAAACCCAGAGAAGTATCCTGGTCGTTGGATTATCTCATGGCAGGTCTGATTTATTCAACAAAATTAAAACACATCTCAGCATTTCACCAAATGTTCTTGGCTGCTTGCTTTCATCAGATCTGATTTATTAGCAGGGGCAGAGAAAGTGTCGAGATATATTACTGATATTTTAAGTACTGCTACTTTATAGACTATTTCATTTTAACTAGAGGAAGAAATTACTTGTAAAGGGCATGTTGTCACCTCTGGTTGTCAGTGAAAGCCAGATTTTAAAACTGGGTGCAGCTACTCTTTAGGTGTACTTCAGTACAATACAGTTTTAATTTTTTGGGGGAGTGATGCAGCAGTGTCTTGTTAAGTATGCATACACAGCAGGCAATACAAGCGGGGACGAGGGGGGGACACCATCCCCCTTTGTAGCAGAATGACCAAAATGTGTCCCCTCGTTAACCCGCCATAGCTCGCCACGTCCCAGTCCAGAACCAGACCCCATCCTATCCGGACCCAGACCTATAGCTTATAAATGATTAAGAATTAATACATTTTGATGGAGCGTTTTTCTTTTAACTGGCACCATAGAGTGTGCCAGTAAACCCGGAACTCTGTTAGCGCTTTTAGCACTTCCAGTTCTCTCGTCTAAAAGTCAATACGTTTTTTGAATGGGATTTTGGTAAAATGCCTCAAATAAGGTCTGTGGTTAACAAAAGCTTAAGCGAGTTTCAGGTTTTGTTCTACGACATAAAAC